ACCCTTCAATGTTGTTGTTTTTTTTAGAGAAAGAGACCAGTTACTTGGTGCTGGTGTACTTGGTCACAGCCTTGGTGCCCTCCGACATGGCGTCTTTGGCCAGCTCCCCGGGCAGCAGCAGGCGCACGGCGGTCTGGATCTCTTGGGAGGTGATGGTGGAGCGCTTGTTATAATGCGCCAAGTGAGATGCCTCCCCAGCAATGCACTCAAAGATGTCATTGACAAAGGAGTTCATGATGCCCATGGCCTTAGAAGAGATGCCGGTGTCGGGATGAACCTGCTTCAGCACCTTGTAGACATAAATGGAGTAACTCTCCTTCCTGGTCTTGCGGCGCTTCTTCTGGGTCTTGGTCACCGCTTTCTTAGAGCCCTTCTTGGGAGCAGGAGCAGACTTGGCTGGAACAGGCATGCTGACTTCGAAGCAGCTCACTTGATAAAACACTAATAGAACAAGCTGAATGTTGGGGAATGCCAGCATTTAGGCTGCTCATGAAACCTTAATTTAGCCCCCTTCTGCATGTACATTATGATAGAGCCTTTCATGACACGATCACGCATACTATACATTCAGGGGACCCCTGCCTCCTTCAGTGCACAGGAAGGACAACGAATCAGGGCTCTGTAGTGAATGAGGCTGCATTTCTCTACAAGTTAGAAGATGTGTAGAGAACAAGGCAAGCGACTGCAGGAAGAGAAAGGATACTTTTGTTGTTAAGACAGATCAGTGTTACACAGAAAAATTCAGTTTGATCCCTGCCTGTGTCACAGTCATCGTATGTAGCACTGTGCAAGCCACCGAAACCACAATTCTGGAAGTGGCCAGCAACTGCACCTCTTGGGGCCCAACTTGACCACCTGGGAACTCATCTGCACAGTACTGAGTACTCACAGCCACAACTGACGTCAATGAGAGCTATGGCGGCTCAGCTCCACTGGCAGAAAGGCAGTGTGGTATGGGGGAAGGAGAACAGTGCTGAGAGCCAGAAAGTCCTGACTTCTAATTCTGGCTCTGCCACCAATCCACTGTGAGGCCTCAGGCAAGTCTCTTTGTCTTAGTTTCCCGATCTGTAGAATGGTGATTATACTTTTATCATCTTGATGTGGTGACAAGGTTTGTGAGGCACTCAGGTACTGTGGCAAGCCTTAGAAAAGACCGTGAAGGGAATGAATAATTCTATATTTATTGCAGGCTTTGAATGGTGTGCAACAAAGAGAGGGTGTTTGCTATGGGGCTCCTGCAGTGTCTGCTGCTACTGCTTTGGTAGTGGGATGGACACAGCCTGAGATTAGAATGTTCACCATCCGTTATTTTACCATGCTGCCACAATGTTTCTGAGGAACACAAGTGAAACAGAGATTTTCAAAAGATTACAGCTCAGCTACACCTGAATGAAATTTCATAGGACAAAGAAAATTTTAAAAAAAGAAAAAGACACTTCTGTAGCCCAAGAGCTTTCTCCCTGCCAAATTTCAAAGGCCTACTGCAAACAATGGTAGTGTAAGAGTATCTCAAAAAAGTTTGCAAGAATCTTTTATAATGGAAAGTGCTAGGCAATCTACAAACTGGGGTCGCTACCAGCTTCCCCCACCCAATAATATACAAAGATATGCTTATCTATACTTGTAGATATAGCTATAGATTCTAATTACACATCATTTTCAGAATTTATTCAAAGCTCCTGGGGGAAAAAGCTGGACAGCCCATCATGTATTTCTCGGAATAGAAGACTTACAATGGGATCTTCAGCAACAGCTCTCTGCTATTGAGTGTTAAAATCCTGCTGCTAGATCCATAGCTGGAGTAAGACCAAATGTGCAACAGTAGAGCTTAACTAGTGTATCTAGACAGCTTGGATAGGCCCCGTCTTTTCCTTGAGTTGTAATCACTGACTAGTTAATGTATGCTATGGAGCAGCTGAGCTCATAAAAATTATTTGAGTATCTCAGAAGTGTGCATTTATCATCTTTTTCAAAACACAAGATGTGACTTTACCCTCGAGGAAAACAGTTTAAAACCACCAGAAACGTAGCTCCATGGCAGCAGCTGTCATTAGTTCAGAGCTTCTGGGGAATTTCCAAAAAACTTCTAAGGGAATGAAAAGTTAATAATAATAAAAAAAAATCCTTCATTGTTCAATTACAACTGGGTGGAAACGACATGTTATTACAGGGTTGGCTTCCAGCCAGCCCATGCTTTTTACCTTGATAAATTGCCCATCTGATTAGAACAGAATATGGGAGGCAAATGAAGCTTTATCATTGTCATGTGACATATGCTTATCAACACTGTCTTCCTGTCATCTATATTCTTTCTAAATATAAAACCATGAGATGCTGCATTCCTGTCTGAAAAACCACAAATGTGTTTGTGACTTCTCATGACATTTGTAAGGCACTACAACAGAGTGGCTCAGAGGCACCAAAATGTTGCAGATTAATTGTCATACTCAATGCACTAGCAATAGTTCTGTCAATTGGATAATTCACACTGCATAACCATGCCTGCGGTTTACAATTCAATGTCATACCTGACTATTTCTACTTTTGCTCCTAGTTTTGTGCCCCTCGCATTTTTGGAACACATACACATTGTTGAGTTATGTGCCACATCAGATACAGTTTGTAACTCAACCCCTTGTAGCACAAGTACTTGATGAGCCTCTTAACAGATGTGGAATAATGAAACGCCAGACAGATAATGCTAGCAACTAAACCAGGGAGGAACTGAATGCCACACACTGGGGATCCCTGCCATGATGTTGCAGAGGAGTGACTGCTCAATCTCATTTTTGACATAGAAGATCTAAACAAGGACAAATAGCTGGAATTTTCAAAAGGATCTAGATGAGTTAGGCAACAACATTGAACCCAATGGGATTTGGGTGCCTAACTCCCTTAGGCCTTTTTGAAAATCGCAGCCTACATCAATAGGTAACCCAGACCTGACCCTGAACACTTTCTGAATGGTACTTAAGTGCCAGCAGCTCCCACTGACTTGGATAGGAGTTGAGGGTGCTCAGCAAGTTGCAGAATTGGGCTCTAGGTTTCTACTGCAAAAAAAAACAATGCCTGGCCTAGAACCAGCACTAACTTTGGATCTCTTTAACTTGACCCCTGGCATCCTCGTTCAGTGGAAAGGCACCAAGGGGCAACAGTGAAGAGACTGTAAGAACAACATTAAAAAAAGTCAAATACTGTACCATATTAGCTCATTCCTGTCAATTAAAATAGTAACAGATGCTGATAATTGTACTTATATAACCAGTGACCTTTAAAATGAACTAATTATTGAAGATTAAATTATTAGTTCATTTCAGAACCAAAGTTCCTAGAAAAAAATCTGTTCAGTCAGTGGAGGGCATGTCCTCACAACGATGCTGTAGGTCTCAGCAGCTAATGCAAATTATTCTTCAGCTCCATATAAAACTATACAGACAATCTGAGCAATTATTTTTGCAAAGCTACACGGCTGATGAGAACACACCAAGGTGATGTGCTGAGTTGGCCTCAGTAGGAATTTAGAAAGACATCAACACTTAACAATTAAGCCAGTCACCACGTAGCAGTTCTGTTCACATTTACAAGAGTAGGAGACAGATGTATACAGCCACGGAATGTGCCATATAAAACACTAATCTCATTGCAACACACATCTGTACAACAATAAAAGGAGTCTTTAAAACAATGTAGCCAAGTACTATGACATATGTTAAATATAGCCATGAGTGAACTGAGAGCAGAAATCCATGAAAACCTGTATTGATTGCAGTAAAGAAAATGTGTACATATTTGCAGTGGAGATACTTCCCACTGAAATTCTTTTCATTCGGTAAGAACACAGATACTGTGTTATACCTTTTCTCCTCAACAAAACAATAAAAGGGGCTTCATATAACATGGAAAGCTAAAGCAAATTTAAGCATGTTTTCTGATCCTTTAATATTCTCATGGCTCTTCCAATTTGTCAACATCCTGCCTGAATCATGGACACCAGAACGGAACACAGTATTCCAGCAATAGTCACACCAGTGCCAAATACAGAGCTAAAATAATCTCTCTACTCCTACTCAAGATTCCCCTGATTATGTGCCCAAGGATCACATTAACCCTTTCAGCACAGCATTAAACTGGAAGCCATGTTCAGCTGACTAGCACCAAAATCTCCAAATCTTTTTCAGAGTCAATGTTCCCCAGGACAGAGTTCCCCCATCATGTAAATATGGTCTGTGTTCTTTGTTCCTAGATGTTTACATTTAGCCATATTAAAACAAGCATTGCTTGCCCCCAGCTTACCAAGCAAACTAGACCGCTCTGTATCAGTGGCCTGTCCTCTTCATCATTTACCACACCCCCAATTTGTGTGTCACCTGCAAACTTTAATCAGTGATGATTTTGTGTTTTCTTTCAGGTCATCGATAAAAGATGTTAAATAGCATAGGGCCAAGAACAAGCCCTGCAGGACCCCACTAGACCCCATCAGCTATTTGTTTGTGTTATTTAAAATAATACAAGCTGTCAGGATCCTAAGCAAGCCCAAAATGTTACAAGGGTTTCCAAGTGGTGTGTCCAGGAAGAAGTTCAGAAGATCCTCAGTTTGGACTCTGAGCAGTCTCTTTTGACGTATAATCTTTGCAACTATATACACATACAATGGTGACCCTTAAAAACCTTCAATTGACTTGAATAACCTCACTGTAGTATTCAAGGTATGCGGTACATTTAGGGAAATACAAGAAAAATCTATTTATTTTAGGTAAAGCTGGCAAGATTTTAAGGTAGTCTATAGATACGAAGATACTGCTGTGCAGAGAGAGGGGGTATGTGCACTTACAAAATTACAGTTAACTGGATTTTTTCCATCAGCTATTTATAGAATATTTTGGCAGACAACATCCAAATTGTTATTTATTTTAAATAATCTGTTATTCTGGCTCCAATGCAGACACTACAGACAGTGTTTAACGCTGCTCTTCCCCCTGTTGCGTGTGCTCTGGGAATTCTATCCTGCCTCAGCAGGTCTCCTCTGTGTAGCTGCTGTTGATTGATGTCATGTTAAGCTGCCTCCTGACCCTGATCTAGCTTGGTATTAGGCAGTCATTGCTATAACTCACAAGTAGCAGAGTTTGCAGCCTCTCGTCATCCAACAATGGCTGGCAGTTGGGCTCATTCAGAGCCCATTAAGATGATTTTTCCAAGGCAAGTCCATGTGGACAGAATACTAATGGGCACTCTAACACAATGAAGGTGTCTGTTTGCCGTCATTCTTCTTAACCGCTGGGCTTTGTAATGATACAGTTTTGACAGTGTTGTTTTTTGAGCCATTGTGAATGAGTCAATATTTATTATTGCTATTTTACAAGATGACTAAGGTATAGTGTGGCATTCAGACAAAGCAGCTCAGAATTTCTTAACAATATGCACTCATACAAGTTGACACAAATGCAAAACTGGTAGAATGCAGAACAATCTGAAGCACTAGAGATCTCTAAAGAAGAAATGTGGTGCACCTGTCAAAGGCAGACTACATGCTCAAGCCTTTCCTAGCAAACCTTCCCTATGCCTATCCATCCCATGAAACCATTTGACATTCTTCTCGAAATTAAGTGAACAAGAAACATTTCTTTTGGTACAGTCCACTTCGAGCTTCATGTTGTCCAGCGAGTTAAAATAGGAACTTTTATTTGGATCCATTCTGTACTTTGCAGCCTCAAGAGTCTGAAACTATGTGCACTTATTTATTCTGTCTATGGCCTGGTCTACAC